CCCCTCACGCAACAAGGACTGCCCTGAGCCAGCGAGACCCTGCATGACTGACCCCAAGGCAGTGATCAACCTGATCTTTACTGCCCACCTGCAGGTACCCACCAACCTGTCCCACATTTTCCTTATATAAACCTGGAAGTATTGGGGGCACTTTGCCCATAGTGTTTGAGACACCAGTCTGCGGTCTTCCCAGCAGTGGCATCCCTGAAATAAATCCCTTTCTCATTTCACCACCACCATCTCTCTGCCTTTGGATTTTGTCAGTGGCAGGTGGCCCAGTCTGGTTTGTTTGGGCCCTGCCCCCATGCTCCCCCACCTCCCCGGCCCCGAGCCAGGTGCCCGTGCTCCCCTGCGCCCCAGCCACATATTCTGCTATCTCATTTAATGCTTTTTGTCCAAAGGCAACATTTCCTGCTATCATGATCATAACCTCTGCTTTCTTATTGTCATATTTGCCTGCTGTACCTCTGCAATTCTCTAGCACTAGCCATTCTGAATCACTTCGATTTAGGTGTATCTCTAAACACAGCACAGTGGGGTTGCGCTTTATGAATCTGAAAATCTTTTTAATAGGTGAATTTCCACTTACACATATTGAAACAGGGGACAGGTAGGGGTTTTTTTGGTTTTTTGTTTTTTAAGAGTTTATTTATTTGTAATTGAGAGAGAGAGCGCGCGCACACAAATGGGCGGGCGAGCAGCAGGCAGAGGGAGAAGCAGGCTTCCTACTGAGCAGGGAGCCCGATGCAGACCCTGGGATCATGAGACAGTGAGGGTTTTAAATCTATTTTAATGTTGTATTTATTGAGTGTCTTGCTTTATTTAATATGTTCCTTTGTGCGGTATGTTCTCTTAGCTCTTAAAATTTTCTTTGATGTTCAGAAAATTTTGAAAATTTTTTCCTGCACTTATCTTCCCAAATCTCCATATGTCACTCTCCCTGGGTGCATGGCTATGGCCCCATTCCCACTGGTAAAAGGACACCAGTTATACTGGATTGGGGCCCACCCTACTCTACCCGGACTTCATCTTAAATAAGTTATATCTGCAGTGACCCTATTTCCAAATAAGGTCACATTCTGATACTGGAAGTTAAGTCTTCAGCATAGGCATTTTGAAGAGACACAACTCAACACATAATAACTCCCATCTGTATATCTACTGTGGTTGCCTCAGACTCTGCTCTTTGATTCTTCAGACCAGTAAGATTGTGGGTTTCCATCCCAGTTTTTGTCACCCCCTAGGGAGAAGGACTGTGGGCTGCCCTCAGGCTAAAAGTCATCAAAACAGGAAACTTACCCAGTACTGTGCTCTTCTTCCAAGTGTCCTCCAGTTTCTGCCTCTTTTTGGTTGTTCTCCAGTGCCTTCAAGTGGTTGTTTTTATATTTGATGGGAATTTATGATCGTTATTGGCTGATCAGAGAATCTCTTCCATCATTACTGCGATACTCGTTTTATATTGTCCTGTGTTTGTTTGCTTGGTGGTGGTGGTGGTGATGGTGGGGTCTATTCCTGTTCTGAGTTTTTGCATTTGTGACTCTAGGTGTTTTTTATAGCTTCAAATGTTTAAGAATGCTTAATTCAGATTGGTTATTGTGCATCCATTTCATCCTGCTTCATGTTGGGGAGGGAATTTTTATCAGCTGAAATGTTTTGATTTTTATTTATGTTCCTTTTATATATTGGCTTTGTTTAGATGCGATCTGCCATCCATTTTCCATTCACTGAAAATGTCCCGTTTTTTTTCTTGGACCGGCAATAATAGGCAAAGATAAGGATTTTACGCGTCGGATTGCATTTTGCAGTTCAAGGGCGCCCTCTTCTGTTGATTTACAGAATTGCAGTTTCTATAGTAATTACACCGTTGGGGGGGTAGGTTGGATATCGTTTGCTTTTGTTCTACTAGTTATTATTTTTCATTAAAAAATATATGTTTAACTTCCTGGGGTGCTAGTAAGGTTTTATTTCTTGATGTGTGTGATGGCTGGCTGCAAGGGTGTGTTCACTTGCTGGAAATTTAGGGAGCTGTACACGAATGAATAACGTCAAGAATAAAACAGTATTATGTTTGAGAAAATTATTTTCTACCTTCCACTTCCGTTATGACTGATCTACCATTTTTTTCCATTCGTTACTCTAAAAATTATATTTTGTACATATGCCTAAAGATATTTTACAAATACACTTAATAGTATCTTACAGTAATTTGTTTTCAAATCATTTGATGCTTACTGCCAGTCTTTTCAAACTATGTCTCTATCATTCATGAATTTTTTTAAAAGATTTTATTTATTTATTTATTTGAGAGAGAGAGAGAGAAACAGCATGAGAGGGGGGAGGGTCAGAGGGAGAAGCAGGCTCCCCACCGAGCCAGGAGCCCGATGTGGGACTCGATCCCAGGACTCCGGGATCATGACCTGAGCCGAAGGCAGTCGCTTAACCAACTGAGCCACCCAGGCGCCCCTCATGAATTCTTTATCTTGATTTATCCTGCAGGTGGCTGAAGTACAACATCAAGTAATTTTTAGTGGAAAATAGCCACAATCAAGGAACACCCCTTCATTGCACCACTGTTAAAGCTGGAACAACACTGCATATCTAAGAGTGTCTGTCACTCCAAAGAAGAAAGTTTGCCAAATCGCAAATATATCCCCTCAAAACTTGTTAGGCAATATTCCCTTATTTTCTGACATCACATTCTGTGGTGGAATATGAAGCCAGCCTAGTTTCCAAAAATTCCAGTGTCAAATTCTTTTGTTGCTAGTATATAAAAACACAATTGACTTTTAAATATTGATCTTGTATCCAATAACCTTGCTAATGCACTTATTAACTATAATAGTCTATCTGTTGTTTCTTTTGAATTTTCTACATACGTAACTGTGTCATCCCTGAATTACGGAAATTCTGTAAATTCTACCTGCTTCTATCTACAAGGACTCTCTTCCCCTGCTTGACTGTGAGGTCTACTTCCCTGTGGGTCCCTTGTCTCACATATCATGGCCCCTCAAACCCTGCCTGAATGACATGTTCTCCAAATATTTAAAACAGGTTTTTAGTTGTACCACTTTTACCCTTGTTTTTGGTAAGAGAATTCATCTGATACTAGCTATTCCATCCCAGCTAAACCCTTGTTTGTAAGCTTTATTTTCCACTTCCATGCTTATAGATTCATTCTTTACCCTAAGATCTTTTTTAAAAAAAGATTTTATTTATTTGAGAGAGAGGGCAAGCGAGAGAGAGCAGGAGGGGAGAGCGGATAGGAGCAGAGGGAGAGGGAGAAGCAGACTCTGCTGAACAGGGAGCCCAAAAAGGGGCTCGATCCCAGAGACTCCGGGATCATGACCTGAGCTGAGACAGACGGTTAACTGACTGAGCCACCCAGGCTCCCCTCATCACCCTTAAATCTTAACGTTAACAAAGGAATATGTTGGGGTTGATTGCTTTGCGTTTATTGACTGTTTCATGGGAATCTCTTTGCTACGCAGTTTGGGGTCTTTACTGGGTTCCATCCACCATTATTCCATTTCCCTTTTTCCTAAGTCAATGAAAATAGACAATCAAGGAGCATCTCCTCATAGCTGCATCATTAAAACCAACTCCCCTACCTGCCTTTGCTGTGGCCGGAGGATCTCCCTTCTAGTGAAAGAACCACCCTCCCCTGTGCCCTGGATCAGACCCCCCTCTCCCTCAGGGCAAGTTAACCTCTTCATCCTCTGCATCATTAGTTTCTTCCTCGGCTGCTCAGTATCAGCAAACAAACATGCTCCACTGATCTCCCATCCTACAAGTAACAAGATCTGCCTTTACCATGTCTCCTCCAAACTCCGGGCCATTTTTTGTTCCTCTTCAGAGTGAAACTTATCATGAAAATTCCCTTTAATCTCTTCCTTCATTTTCTCCCATTCCCCCCTCAACCCCCAGAACATGCCTTTTCTGTGCCCTCTCCCCCAAGAACGCCACTGAAGCTTCCCTGGTCAGAGCACTTGTCAAATCTGATCATGGCTTCACATCTCTCTCAATCTCTTAACGGCATTCAAATACACTTTCTCCTTTGGCTTCTATGACCACATACTAGCCCAGTTTTTCTCCTACCTTCATTTCTTTTCTTTTCTATCTATAGTCTCTCTAGATGATAGAGTCATGAATAAGTCCTTTGGCTTATTTATCATTTATGTTAGTGACTCCCAAATATACACAGGTCCAGCCCCGGACATTCCCCTGAGAGATGGGGCTGTCTATCCAGTGGTTTATTGAACATGTGCACAGCGATATCTAAAGCTACTAAGGAAAGAAATTAGTTTCATTTCCTTCCTTCAAGCCTTTAATCCTCCATTTGCCCCCATGTCAGTTAAGTGACTTCATCGTATATTCAGTTGTTCAGCCAAAAGCATAAGAATCATCTGCAATCCCTCTCCTTCCTTCAGCCCCCATTTTCCAGCCTTCTGCATGTCAGATGCACCTGCAAAACACATTTCCCCAAATCCCACTCCTGTTTGTTTTGCCTGCTCCTACTGTCATTCAGCTCACCACCATGTCTCACCATTACTAGCTCTCTAATTGGGCGCTGTGGTTCCATGCAGCAGGAGGAATTATCCCTTTAAAATGTGATCCATATCATCCTCCTAAACTCACCAGGGATTGTCTCAAAGTCAACTCCAAGTTCTGCCCCACAGTCTACAATTCGTACATGCTCTGGCCCCCGCACAACCACAAAGACCCCAGAAAGAATCATCCTCTTACGTCCCCACAAAGTGAGAAGCTCTAATAGCTGTCACACTCCTTATCATATTATTTTCTTTACATATGAAACAGATCATAAAGAGTGAACATTACCGCGGGGAAGTGATGTCGGCACATAGTGGCATGTAACATATCCCTTTTTATCCCCCGCTTTTTAACACGAAAAGACAGCCATTCATGAACAAAAGCACCTTTGTGGGAATTGTTGGATCCTTTGCTATACAAACACCAAGGGACCCAGAAGAAGTCTCACCTACCTGTGCATCCAGTAAGAGGCAGACAGACCTCCGTATGGGCTGTGGAGCCAGGAAAGCCAGTTAACCTGCCCAGATTCCTCTGGCCATGGGGGAAGGGGGCGGAGAAAGGGGGGCTGGAGAGTGCTGACCAGGGCAGATACCCAAGCACAGGAGAGAATTTGCAAAAGTCCAGCCTTCCTGAGAGGAAATTCCAGCACGCCATTCTAGAAAAAAATTTTTTTTGGTCGTAGCAAAGGGGGCAGTAAGAGAAACTTTCCCAGCTCCCCTCCCCCTCTAGCCCCCAAGGAAACGCTGCGGGGCTAATCCATCCAGGGGTGGTGGTGACCTCTCTTATGGGGGAGAAGGATAGCAGTGAGTGAATGCCTGGCTACCCCACTTGTGCAGGACATGGCTGGAGAAACCCATTTATTTCCAACAGCACCCAGAGTACTGAAGCAGGACCCCCATGACTGGCGGGGGAGGGAGGAGATGGGCAAAGAGGCAGACATGGGACATCTTTCCTGCTGACTGCACTGGGCACGAAGTCTGCCCATGAGCCCCTGGGAGTACCCGCTCATCAGGCACCCCAGTGCCTCCAGTGCTAAGCCCACATCTGCGCTCACTCTGCAGCAATTCCCTGTGCACGCTTCCAGGTATGGCTGCAAGAGCAAGCTCCTGGAAACAAAGAAAGGGCTCGGAAAACAGGCCGCAGTATGTGGGCCAGGGAGAAACCACGAACTTGAGCTATAGCGCCACCTTCTGGAAAAGAAAAGACAGCTTCCCATAGCCCGCTGGGTGACTTGTAAAAACCCAGAGAAGACAAAAGGTTACGAATCCTGCCGCTTGAGGCAAGAGGAGGAGTGGAGCAGGTAGATGAAACCCCAGATAATACCACCACCATCAAACAGAATGCCCCATCTGAAAGCAACTGGCAACGATTTCAGGAAGTGCCTGCTACTTCAAATGAAAAAGCAGCAATGCAAAGCTACAGGGCACCTGAAAAATCGGAGAAACCGGTCGTCACAAAAAGCAAGCAGTAATTCTCCAAAAACTGAGCTCAAAGGTATGGAATTTTGTGATCTAGCTGATGGAGAATTCAAAGTAGCTATTTGAAGAAATTTAGCAAGCTACACGAAAACTCAGAAAGGTAATTCAATGAAATCTTGAAAAAAAAAATACATGATTAAAATGAATTTTTTTTCAGAGGTAGAAATTATAAAAAGAACCAGAGATTCCAGAGCTTAAGAACTCAATAAATGATGTAAAAAGAATGTAATAGAGAGAATCGGTAGTGGAGTCAAATGAGTTAAAAATAGGATAAATGGTTTAGAGGATACAAATTTTGAAATAACCCAGTTAGAGGCAAACAAAGGAAACAATGGGGGAAAAAAAAAAAACAACAAAGATAGCCTATGTGATCTATAGGATTCTATCAGAAGGCCAAATATTAGAATAACTGGGATTCCAGGAAGAGAAGAAAGGGAGAAGGGAATAGAAAATTTACTTAAGGAAATAATAGTTTAGAACTTCCCAAACCTGGGAAGAGAACTGGACATCCAAATACATGAAGCTAATAGATCAGCCCTTTTTTTTTTTTTAAAGTTTTTTATTTTTTTTAAGTAATCTCAATATCCAAGATGAGGCTTGAACTCATGACCCCAAGATCCAGAGTTGCACGTTCTTCAGACTGAGCCAGCCAGGCACTCCTAAATTAGCCTAGTATCCCCATACAAAAAGACCTTCTCCAGGACAACATTATAATGAAATTGTCAAAACTCAAGAATAAAGAACAAAATTTGAAAGCAGACAGGGGAGAAAAGATTATAACCTACAAAGGTAGTGTCATTAGGCTATCAGTGGATTTCTCAGCAGAAACCCTAGGTCAGGAGAGGGTAGACATATTCAAAGTGTTGAAAGAAAAATTTGCCAGCCAAAAATAGTCTATTTGGCAAAGTTATCCTTCAGATATGAAGGAAAAACAAAGACTTTCAGAGACGAACAAAAGCAGAGAGTTCATCATCACTAGACCTGCCTTGAAAGAAATGTTGAAAAGAATTCTTCAAGCTGAAATAAAAAGGAACTAATTAGTGACATGAAAACATAAAACAGCACACTGGTAAAGGTACATATACAGTCAGACCTAGAAAATTCTAAATCTGCAATAGGATGTTGTAATCGCTTAACTATAGTATAAAGGTCAGAGGAAAAGAGTATTAAAAATAATTATAGTTATTATAATTTGTTAACAAATACACAATGTAAAGAGGTCAAAAATATAAAAAGGGGGGGAGTAAAAGAGTGAAGCTTTTGTAGATGATTGAAGTTAAATTGCCATCAGCTTAAAATGGACTGTTTTATCTATGAGATGTCTTATGCAAGCCCCAAGGTTACCACAAAATGAAAACCTAGAGCAGATGCATTAAAGATAAAGATGGGAGAAACAGAATATACCACCATGGAAAAATGCCAATTTACAAAGGTAGGCGGAGATAGAGGGAAAAGAAACAATGGAAATACAAAACAGTCAGAAAACAAATACTTTAAGCCAAAAACAATAACAAGAGACAAAGAAGGTCATTATATAACGATAAAGTGGTCAATTCATCAAGAAGATATAACAGTGGTAAATATATATGCACCCAACAGTGGAGCATCTAAATATATTAAGCAAATACCAGCAGATCTGAAGGGAGAAATAGACAACAATCCAATAATAATAGAGGACTTTGACACCCCATTTTTAGCAATGGATAGATCATAGAGAGAATCAATAAGGAAACAATAGACCTGAATGATACAATTAGATCTAAGGGACCTAACAGACATTTACCAACCATTCCATTGATTAGATGCAAAATACACATTCTTCTCAAGTGCACATGAAGCATTTTCCAGGATAGACCATATGATAGAACAGAAAACAAGTCTTACCAAATTTAAGAAGATTGAAGTCATGCCAAGTATTTTTTTTTTTAAGAGATTTTATTTATTTGAGAGAGTGAGCAGGAGTGGGGAGAGGGGCAGAGGGAGAAAGAGAGAAAGGGAGAAGCAAACTCTCCACTGAGTGCAGAGCCTGACATTGTATGCAATTTATATGCAAATATAAATGCATATATTAAGAAAATAGATTTCAAACAAACAGAACCCTACCTTTGCACCTCAAGGAACTAGCAAAGGAAGAACAAACTAAGCCTAGAGTTAGCAGAAGGAAGGAAATGACAAAGATCAGAATGGAAATAAATGAAATAGAGACCAAAAGGCAACAGAAAAAATCAACAAGACTAAGAGTTGTTTTTTGGAAAAGATAAACAAAATTGACAAACCTTTAGCAAGACTAAGGAAAAAAAAACAAGACTCAAAATCAGAAATGAAAGAGGAAACATTATGACTGACACTACAGAAGTACATAGGATCATAAGAGACTACTGGAAACAACTATATGCCAACAAATTGGGCAACTTATAAGAAATGGATAAATTCCTAGAAATATACAACCTACCAAGAATGAATCAGGAAGAAACAAAATTACAATATACCAGCAACAAGTGAGAGATTGAATCAGTAATCAAAAACCTCCCAACACAGAAAAGCCCAGGACAAGATGGCTTCATTGGTGAATTCTACCAAACATTCAAAGAATTAATACCAATCCTTCTCAAACTCTTCTGAAAAATCAAAGAGGAGGGAACACTTCCAAACTCTTTTTATGAGGCCAGCATTACCCTGATACCAAAGCCAGATAAGAACCCTACAGGAAAAGAAAGCTATAGAATAATATCCCTGAGGAATATAGATAGAAAAATTCTCAAAAAAAATATTAGCAAACTGAATTCAACAATACATTAAACAGACTAAGAGGGATTTATCCCTGGGATGCAAGGATGGGTCAACATACACAAATGTAATACACTGTATTAGTAGAATTAAAGATAAAAATCATATGATCTCAATAGGTGCAGAACAAGCATTTGACAAAATACAACATCCTTTCATGATTAAAATCCTCAACAAATTGAGGATAGAGGGAACATTCCTTTTTTTTTTTTTAAAGATTTTATTTATTTATTTGAGAGAGAGAATGAGATAGAGCGAGCATGAGAGGGGGGAGGGTCAGAGGGAGAAGCAGACTCCCTGCCGAGCAGGGAGCCCGATGCGGGACTCAATCCTGGGACTCCAGGATCACGACCTGAGCCGAAGGCAGTCGCTTAACCAACTGAGCCACCCAGGCGCCCAGAGGGAACATTCCTTAACATAATAAAGGTCATATATGACAAACCCATAGCTAACATTATATTCAACATGAAAAAGGGAAAGTTTTCTAAGTTCAGGAACTAGACAGGGTGCCTACTGTCACCACTCTAGAAATCCTGGCTAGAGCATTTAGGCAAGACAAAGAAATAAAAGGCACCCAAATCATAAAGAAGTAAAATTGTCATTATTTGCATTATTTGCAGATGATATGATCTTATATATAGAAAATCCTAAAAACTCAGCAACAACAAAAATACTGTTGGAACTAATCAATGAATTCAGTAAAGTTGCAGGATATAAAATCAACATACAGAAACCAGTTGTGTTTCTATACACCACCAACAAAACATCTGAAAACAATAAAATATCAAAACATCAAAAAACAATAAAATACTTAGGAATAAATTTAACCAAGGATATGAAAGATCTGTGCAGTGAAAGATAACAAGACATTGATGGGAGAAATTGAAGAAGGTACAAACAAATGGAAAGATACCTAATATTTATGGAATGGAAGAATTAATATATTCAAGATGTCTATACTACCGAAAGCCATCTCTAGATTCATTACAATTCCTGTCAAAATTCCAACTTTTTTTTTTTTTTACAGAAATAAAATCCTAAAATTTGTCTGGAACACAAAACACTCTGAATAGCCAAAGCAATCAGGAGAAGGAGAACAAGGCCAGAGGCATCATACTTCCTGATTTCAAACTACTACAAAGCTACAGTCGGTAAAACAGTATATAAAACAGACATACAGACCAATGGAACAGAATAGAGAGCCCAGAAGTAGACCACCACACACTTGACAAGGGAGCCAAGAGCACTCAGTGGAGAAAGATAGTCTCTTCAACAAATGACGTTGGGAAACTGGATAACCACATGCAGAAAAAACGAAATTGGATCCCAATCTAATACCACTCACAAAAATAAATTGAAATGAATTGAAGAGTTAAACATAAGACCTGATACCATAAAACTCTTAGAAGAAAACATAGGGAAGAAACTCCTGGACACTGTACTGGGCAATGGTGTTTTAGATAGGACACCAACACAACAAAAGCAAAAATCAACAAGTGGACTACACTAAACTAAAAAGCTTCTATACAGCAAAAGAAACCATCAATAAGAGGTACCT